TGTCTACTAGTTAAATAACTAATGAACTATTCTGTAAACAAAAAACTTAAAAAATAGAAAAAAATTTAATTGTTAATACATGAATATTTTTTGCATTTATGAATGGAGTTACACTGATATATTTGATATTATATCGAAAGTTGATGCCAAAACTTAAGAAATATATAACATTGTGATATCACACATCTATATATTTTTAATTATTTATAATAAATGTCAAAATTTTTAAATAAAATAATAACTGAAGTCTAATTTAAACTTTTGTTTTAACTAATTTACACTATATTTTAACTAAAATAACCCAATTAGCTTTATTAATATAAAATGTGTAACAATTTTATTGTAAATNTTAGCTTTATTAATATAATATGTGTAACAATTTTATTGTAAAACAATAGTCACTTTTTTAAACAAACATCAAGAATTATTACTTAAAATCTAAGATATTAATATAACAAAAACTGTCTAAATATATTACTTTATTAGTCATAAACAATTCATTAACTTTAATTTAACACTTAAACATAACATTAAAGATGATAGATCATTTTATTTTTGGTATCAACAGTATCACAACAAATGGTTATTAAACCTTATATTTATATTAGTATCTCAGATATCAAATAGTTAACAATAAAACAACTCTCATCTATAATGAATATTAAGATTGTCATCTAAAACTATTGACATTCCTGCTAAATCTAAAGAAGCAGTCATATGAAAGCCCATGTTGCTCAGTACAACTAGATATTCAAAAAACGCAAAGATTGTATACACTGAAAAATTAAAAAGTAAAATATAGTAGTAATTAAAATAATACATTCATACAAGTATCATTAGTATTTTTGAACATTTTTTTTTAATGTGTGTTTTACTTAAGATGTTATTTTAGATGTTAGTTTATTGGGAAACTTAACCCTTTTAGAATCCTGTTGCACTGGAAATTCACCATTGCCTACATCTTTCTATATGTCTATGAGGAATAAGTTTATTATTATCAACAGTTTAAAAAGAATTTAACACTCAATGTTTTACATTTTTAAGTTTTTTAAAAATTGAAATATTAGAAAAAACTGTAGAATTAAGTGAGATTTAGAGGGAATCAAACTACTTTAGCATAACTCGAGTAATTCTAGTGTTTAATTTCATAGGCTAAATTTTCATAATATGAAAATATAGCCTTTGAATTAGCATCAAACATACTATAATATAATTTGTGGCCAAATATTAAACAACAAAAAAAAATCTTCTACAATGAAGACTGCTATAGAATATATTTTATCCATCTATCCAACTACTACTTAAAATAAAAATGATAATAAGTGTGATTGGTTTATCATAAACCACTTCTTTACTCACAAAGTAAATATAATAATAATGATAAAAAAAAATGTTTGATTTCATTTAGTTGAATATATTTCTTGATTTAACTAAATTAATTACTTTTTAGAACTATTTCTAACTTATTGGGGTGTCAACTTTATATTTTTAATTGGCAACATACTTATAAAATAAGAAATTATTTAATTAAGAAAATGACTGGTCGATAAGTATTTTTGGACCACTTTTATAGAAGTTGTTAACAATTTAAAGTTAAAACTGGAGGTAAGTCGTGGGTGATGCCATTTCTATCACTAATCATTTCCCTGTCGTATTCTTTGTTTAGTTTAAAAATGAGAATAACTTCCAAAGTACTGTTCCAAAAGTTGTTATCGACCAGTTATTTTCTTAATTAGATAATTTTCTATTTCATAAGCTAGCCAAATATATATGTTACATTTAAAAAAATAAAGTTAACAACCCTTTAAGTTATAAGGAATAACTTTAAAAAGTAACTAGTAATTGATAAATCAAGAACTAAAAGAAACCAAAATTTCTTTTTTCCAGTATTGTATTTTGAATATAATTGAGTTTATGATTTACTGATCACTCTGTATATGACTAATCTATTTTTAAATAAAAATTGATAATCCTAATTAGTAATTTCATACAACATCAATTCAGAATAAATATAAAATAAAACTTTATATGATTGGAACCTTTTTTTTTTTTTTTATTATGTTTAACATCCTTTCTAAAGTTACTTTAATCTTGTGTTAGAAGGCAAAAAAACCTAAACAGCCCAGTGCAATGGAATCAAACCTCGGTACCTATGCACCTAATGTCATACCACTGAGTAAATTATCATAACAAAATAATGCTGCTTATAGATATGTTTTCTTTCTAGAATTAATTAAGATATAAAGGAATAAGAGAAATACATATATGTATGCACAAAAGATAATGGCATATAAGTTCTGAAATGCCATG